AATCTATAAAACTTTGCAGACTTGCGTATTATGATTCTCTTGGTAATAATTAAGAGAAACATCAAACCTGAATCAGATGGTGTTAGAAAATCAGATCAGCATCAACCACTTAGTATTTTTGTGTAACTTAATATTTCAAGTTTCCTTCCCCTTATCAAGTCATGGGTTCAACACATGGTAAAACAAATTGGAGTTAATATATCTTCTATCCTCATTAACATGGTTGTTACCTTTCCACAGCTGTGTTTCCTCATATTATATCACAAGACTAAGATCTTGAACTCAATTAATATTCTGCAAATTCATGTTTCTAAGCTAACATATTGTCACTGAAAGCATGGACACAATTTTAGATTCATAACAGTGTTTCAATCAGACATTTCAGTCCTTAGACTTTAAACTTATTATCCTTCAAGCATCATTCATGACTAAGTGCTGATGTATCCAGGTCTGTACTACAGTCAAACGTTTCCGGTTGCAGTTCCAAGCAAGAATGTCATTGACCAATTTGCTTCAGTCTTCAACAAAACATGATTCTGTAACTGATCCAACTTTAAGAACTTAGGAAATTTATTTCCTGCACACTTTATCTATGTCTAATATTTATAATCTTTCATTCTCAAGGAAACTACATGCCCACAAACTAGTTTGAAATTTTACACAAGGAGAATGTGCCCAAGTAGTGCAAGAAGGAAGAAACAGTGCAGTAACTATGTTGAACTACACGAGTCATTTGCAACAGAAGTTAAAAACTTATGTTTGTAAATTGCACTCGGGTCCGAGTTCCAGTTTCTCCCATTTGCTAATGACTTGGCTGCACAAAACATTTTGGAACAATATTACGTGTAAATTATTGCTCTAATTCTTTCTCGAAGCATCAAATATACCATTGAAACAGTATACAACAACCCAAATATACTCATGCAATAAATTAACTTGCTTCAGCATCAAGACAAATGTCTCCAATTGGATTACAACTTAAATTGTGACTAAGTCAACTGGAGATTTTCAGTGATGGTCAGCAAGAACTAAATCTGCTGTTCCTAAATACACACCCATTTAAGGTTTCATCATATATAACTATGTTTGTATTGATAAAAATCTATCCATCATTTCTCAGAACATCTGCTAAGCTGCTTGACAGTTATCTGTATGTTTTCATTCTCTTATACGCTCATCATCAAGCCACAGAACTTGGCATCTTCATAGAATCATAGATCATAGAATCCCTTCAGTGTGGTAACAGGCCATTCAGCCCAACTAGTCCACACCACCCCTCCGAAGAGCATCCCACCCCGACTCATTCCCCTACCCCTGTATTTCCACATGGCTAACCCACTTTACCTAAACATTCCTGGACACTACGGGCAATTTAGCATGGCCAATCCACCTCGCCTGCACATCTTTGGACTGTGGGAGGAAACCGGAGCACCCGGAAGAAACGCACGCAGACACTGGGAGAATGTGCAAACTCCACACAGACAGTCGTTCAAGGGTGGAATCGAACCCGGGTCCCTGGTACTGTGAGGCAGCAGTGCTAACCATTGAGCCACTGTGCCGCCCTTCTTCTGCAAACATTATTTATTTTTTAAAAATGTACCACCTTTATCTTTTGGGCATTTATATGAATAAATTCAGAAGGGAACAGGAGATTTCTTGAAAAAAAAAAAAAACATTTTTTTGGAGAAAAAACGTCATTGAGTAGAATCAAGCTACAGTTCAAATTACACTCACTTTGTCTATTTTTAATGGATGCTAGTTCCTCCTGGAAAGCTTGCCCTGTGGACCTGGCAAAGGCTTCAGCTGTGGCACAGTAACCATGATGCACTAAGTAAGACGAAACCATTCTAGAAATTGAATTTAAAAAAAAAAGTTACAGGGTCAGCAGTATTTCACAATGACGCACTGTAGTTTCTAAAAAAACTCTATTGTAAATATGATTACACCAGGCTGTATATATGCAACAGGAAATGCTTACCAAACTCAATGGAAACAGTCTTGTAAACGTGACCACTGTTTTCCCCAGTAATTTCAACATTCAGGTTACATGTTTTGCAGAGTTATGACACTTGTAAATATATTTGCAGGAACAGTATTTACATCCAAGCATACTTATGTACAAACACATGTCCCACAGAACAAGAGCTTTGTCTTCAAAATTGCATTAAATATACACATCGATAAATTGGTACTTAATTCATTAAATTGATGAGTTATTTACATCAGAAATGTGTCCTGTTACGTTCTTCTTCCTGTTCAAACACTCTTGGTAAAGAAAAATGCACAAGTTAAATCAGCAAACAGCTAGTCAACCAAATAATATGTAGTTGGCCTTAGACATGTGTGGGGGAGGGTGAGGGTCTGAGACAGTCCACATGTACTGGATATAGACAGAAGGAGTGACAGTGTGATATGAGACAAAAAAATGGGTACATGTGCAAGAAACAAAAAGGGCACTCACGTGGGGAAAATGGAGAAAGGGAGCTGGAGTAGACCATGGGAAGAAAAATTTATTACATTAAAACAACAAGAAATACATGTAAAGTGAACTAGAGACTAAATAGGTAACTAAGACCATCCTTTAATGAAACTTACACGCCAAACTTTGAGCCTATGCAACAGCAAAGCACTGAGCTATTCTTAGCTGAAATCAAAACAACCTTTTTTTGAGGCTTAGAAAACCTTGGAGTGGGAAGAGAGAAAGAAAACAAGAGAAAAAGAAAGATTCCTTTGGATAGGAGAGGAGGAAGGTTTCTCAAGTTCAAACTAATTGCCTGCTCCCTGCCCCAGAAATATGGTTTTATTATAGTTTGATACATATAGGACTACTTTGCTTGCTGTGGTCCATAGCCAGGTCAGCTCATGTCTCTCATTAGAATAGCATTAAAAGAGGTTACATTCAAAAGTAGGGCAAAATTACCAAGGTTTAAAAGTGTAGCATTTTCTGATGAAGGGTCTAGGCCCGAAATGTCAGCCTTTCTGCTCCTATGATGCTGCTTGGCCTGCTGTGTTCATCCAGCTCTGCACTTTGTCGTCTAGCATTCAGTTGAACAGTTTTTTCCAGTACACTGATCAGATTTATTATAGTTAATAAAAAGTATTGAAACATCAGTATGTACTTTGCAGCATTTAACATTGAGAAATACAAGTTGTATTTAATAGCTGCAAGAAGAAATCCAAGTCACAGGAAAGAAAATGCCTTTCAATATTTTTAAATGAAAAATGCTACTGTAGATAACAGTCTATGTATCACCTACTTTTGAATCATTGTCTGCCATTCCCCTTCTCGATCTCCTACAGGGAATCTTTCAATCTGGGTCTGAATTTTAGATCTCCATTCTCGCATGTAGTCCTCTATATCAAATACAAATGGATGCTGTCCAAAATTAGCATCTATCACCTCCCCTGGTGTCTGCAGTCCAACAGTGGGATATAAATTTGGCTGAACAAGAAAGAAAAAAATAAAATCACTTTGCAAGCTTTAGACTCTTCAAGCAGTTCAACAGTGTCCTAGTAGACAACTTTCTTACAAAAAATGCTTTGCAGCTGAAAATGGCTTCAAAAAGAAAAAAAAAATTACTACTACAGAGATTTACCCTGATAAACCAAACTTGCAAACTTCTGCTTCCCGTGAGTGTCAACAAGTGTTAAAACAACATTTCCTCCTACTACCTCACCCAAACTTTTATGTCATTTACATTATTTAAGAATATAGCACAATTTTAGGATGCCCACGTAGTAAACACACACGTCAGGAGTGTGTGCGCGTGTGGTTCTCAATGAGGAACTTGTAAAATCATTTGTAAAATTCACACCAATACATCAAAGTATCAAGCCTAAGGATACACATACCAATGATTTGTAAAATATGCCTTTCTAGTTTTGAGTGCAGAAGATGTGTTTACTGGAAAAATCAGAGATCCTGACTTCAAAGAAAAGGAATTAAAATTAACAGAAAACAGAAGAGGATTGATGGGGGCAGAGCAGTGGATGCCATCTATATAGACTTCACTTCGGCGTTCGACAAGATTCATCATGGTAGAGTGGTTAGCAAGATCACATGGAATACAGGGAGAATTAGCCATTTGGATACAGAACTGGCTTGTGGTGGAGGGTTGCTTTTCAGACTGGAGGCCTGTGACCAGCAGTGTGCCACAGAGATCGGTGCTAGGTCCACCGCTTTTTGTCATTTATATAAATGATTTGGATGTGAACACAGAAGGTATCATTAGTAAGTATGCCGATGACATCAAAACTGAAGGTATAGTGGACTGAAGATACAATGGGATCTTGATCAGATGGGTTAATGGGCTGAGGAGTGGCAGTTGGAGTTCAATTTAGATGAATGTGAGGTACTGCATTTTGGAAATCAAATCAAGGCAAGACTTATACACTTAATGGAAAGGACCTGGGGAATGTTGCTGAAAAAAAAACCTTGGAGTACAGGTTCATAGTTCCTTGAAAGTGGAGTCGCAGGTAGAAAGGACAGTGAAGGCAGCATTTGGTATGCTTGCCTTTATTGGTAAGTGCATTGAATATAGGAGTTGGGAGATCATGTTGCAGCTGTACAGGACGTTGGTTAGGGTACTTTTAGGAAACTGCGTGTACTTCTGGTCTCCCTGCTTTTGGAAGGAATGATAGGAAACTTGAAAGGGTTTCAGAAAAGATTTACAAGGGTGTTGCCAGGTTTGGAGAGTTTGAGCTATAGGGAGAAGCTGAATAGGCTGGGGCTATTTTCCCTGGAGCGTTAGAGGCTGAGAAGTGACCTTCTAGAGGTTTATAAAATCATGAGGGCATGGATATGGTAAATAGAAAAGGTCTTTTCCCAAGGGAGGGCGAGTCCAGAACGAGGGCATATGTTTAAGGTGTGAGGGGAAAGAAAGGTTTAAAAGGGACATAAGGGGCAACGTTTTCATGCAGAGGCTGGCGAAAGGAAGTGTTGGAGGCTGGTACAATTACAACATTTAAAAGGCATCTGGACGGGTATATGAACAAGAAGGGTTTAAGAGGGATATGGGCCAAACGATGGCAAATGGGAATAAATTTGCTTACGATCTCTGATCAGCATGGATGAGTTGGACCGAAGTGTCTGTTCCTGTGCTCTATATCTCTATGATTCTATGACGTGTAGCACACCTAGTACTGTACTGCCCATCAATCAATGGAATTAGGACTGACCTGTACCTTAAATCCTTGGCTTTATCCTTTTTCATATCCTTGCCCTGCTAAAATCTACTGATCTCAAATTCAAAATTATGAATTCAGCTGGCACCTGCAAATTTATTTTCTGAAGAGAAAGATCCATGCTGCCAAAGAATTGTTCCCCAACTTGTCTCATGAATGGACTAGCTCTGGCTTATAAAATTTGTACTCTCGTTCCAGACACCCTCGTTAGCAAAAAACATTTCCATCAATTCCTTTCAAAATACTCCATATCTCAATTAAATCACCCTTTAATCTATAAACCAGAGATTGCAAGTTCAATTTACATACTCTTCTGGCGAACAGTTACACACCCGAAACAGTATGTGTTTTTCTCTCCACAGATACTGCCTGATCTGCTAGGTGTTTCCAGCATCTTCAGTATTTTGTTTTTATAATTCAAGAAGTTTACATAATCTATTCACATTAATGTTCAGGTTAATTTAAATAGCTGGCAAGATTCCAGTGAAACTATGCTACACCATAACATATAGTGCTCAGAAGTGCACACAGTATTCAAGATGTGATATAACCAGGGATTTGAATAGCTTTGAATAGCAAAGATTCCTCCCAATGATATTCTAACCTCCTAGATATAAAAGGTTAATATTTCAGAGTTTTGAAAGAGAAGGCTATATCCTACAATGTTAAAAGGAGGGGGCTGTAGAGAAAGCAGATGATTAGCAGTCATTTTCCAAAATTCCACAAATAACGGAATGGTTCCTGAAGATTCCAAGGGAGCACAAGTAACCTAAATACATGAGAGGAAAAAATACAAGGAACTTCAGATCTGTTAACATGATATTAGCAGTAGGGAAAATGGTAGAACCTACAACAAAGGATAACTGGTCACTTAGAAGATAATAGGAGGACTGGGCAGAGAGACTCAGATTTTTGAAAGGCAATTATGTTTGACAAGCCTGTTAAGAGTTTTTTGAGGATGTAACTTGTAGAATATAGAGAAGTTGGAAACCAGTGAATGCGTTGAACTTGGCTTTTCAGAAGCCCTTTAATAAGATCCCACTCAGGAGGTTAGTCAGCAAGAGAGGATCTGAAATTCTGAAGAAGAGTCAATGGATGAAATGTTAACTCTGATTTCTCTCCACAGAAGCTGCCAGACTTGCGAAGATTTCCAGCAGTGTGTGTGTGAGATATACTTTTCAGTTTGCTGATGTCACAAAATTAGGTGAGAAAATTTTTAAGAAGATTTGAAAAGGGTTTAAAAGAGATTTTGACAGGCTAAGTCAGCACACAGCAAGAATTGAGTATTTAGTAAATTCCCAATTTCTCACCCTTCACATTCAAAAGGGCCCAAGTGTTTTTGTTCATAAGTCACTGAAAGCTATCCTGTGTGTCAGAAAGAATGAAGGCGACAAATATCTGTTAGTAGTTATTGCAAGGAGATTGGAGTACAGGAGTAAAGATGTTGTGCTGTAATTACAAAAAGCCTTGGGGAGACCACAGAATTAGTATTGTACATGATTTTGGATACACCCCAAGGAAGAACATGCTTGTCGAGAGGAAGTGCAAAGGTTCACTGAATTGATCCTTGGGATGGCCTGCAGAGAGGGGGAGAAGCAATTGAGATGAGGAACAATTTCTTCGATAAGGAAAAGAGTTTTTGAAAGTTTCCAACTGCATGCTGGGGAACCTCAGATTAGGGAGTTTATTCAAGATCAGAATTGATCGATTTCTAGATATTAACAGTATCAAGGGAAAGAGGTCAAGTGCAGGAAAATAGTGGAGGTAGATCTGCCATGGTTTGGTCAAATTCTGGGTCAGTTTCAAAGGACCCAATGGCCTATCCCTGCTTGCACTCTTCATGGTCCTATATTCATAGGAAATATATATATGCTGCATGCATTTCCTTCTGAACTAATTCAGGATTTATTGGAATATTACTTACGTGGACACAAAATGCTATATTTCCAATAACGTCAATGTAGTCAAAGGATTCATTTCAATGTGAAAGCATGATAGTCCTCGAAGCGTCCACTTTAGTTAATCACCAGGCCATAGCATCCTCTGTGTCAATTGTTTTATATAGAATTATAGAAGGTCACACCACATAAGCAGGCTATTTGGCCCATCAGTTCTGTACTGGTTCTTCACTCAGACCACTTCTGTGTGCCCGTTATAGCGCTCCCTTTGTCTTTTGCTCTGGCCACCCTCACCACTGCAGTCATCACTGATTTCACCACCCCTTTTGTCAATAGAATAAAAAGCATCATTCTCCAGCTCACTTTCAGAACTGTAAGTTATTTTAGATTCAAAATGTTAACTTTGTTTCTCCTTCACACAGGCTGCCAGGCCTCCTGAGTTTCTACAGCACTTTGTTTTCACTTTAGATCCTGCCCTTGCTCTTTTCCTATATCCCTATAACTTTGTTTCCTCCAAACATTTTACCCATATTCAGCTAGGATGTTAAATGGGGAAAAATACAAGGGTAAGTTCCTTCAATAGCAATTCAGTCATTCTCCAGCCTCTCATTGATGTACTTACAATTCAACCACTGCAACCTCAAACTAATTCTACTACACTTGTTCTACAATTAACCTGCAAGACTGCTGCAAGTATTTCCACCTCTCTCAAATTTGAAATATTTAAATTAGAAAGGTCTATCTTCCCTAATCCAAGAAAAACACACACACAATTATGTACTTCAAATATATACTTGCTTAATTTAAACAGAATCATGGAAAGTTATCTATTCAGCCGACTTCGATCAAAATTGACTCTCCAAAATTCTATTTCTTCCTTCTTTTCGCTATCTTTTGTGTGTTATTTATTGCAAGAAAGCAGAGGAGATGGATGATCTTGCATCAATTTCAGTCCCAATAAACAAATGAATATATCCAAAAAGGGAAAGACAACAAGCACACATTTGTTTAATTGCTGAATGTATCATTAATGCACACAAGTACTGAAGTGAACACAGAATACTGTAGATGCTAGAAGTATGAAAGAAGATACTTGAAATACTGAGGTCAAGTGACATGTATGGAGAGAGAAAAACAGGTGATGCTTCAGATCAATAACCTTTCAGCAGAAATTATTTTCTGATATTTCTTGCTTCCCTTAGAGCCATAAATAGGGGAAATTATAATGGGGAAACAAAGAAATAGGAGAAGAATTGAACACAAAATTTGGATCTGTCTTCACAAGAGGATACAAAGAATTTCTCAGAAATGTTAGGGAACTAAGTCTAGTCAGAGGGAACAATTGGGGTTAAAGGGTGACAAATTTGATAATCAACATCTCGAAGTACTAAAGGAAGAGTCCCTGGAAATACAAGATGTGTTGGTGGTCATATTCCAAAATTCTATAGACTTTGGAGCACTTCCTACCAATTACAGGGTGGCAAACGTAACCCCACTACTTAAAAAAAAGGGAGAAAAAAAATTAGAGAATCACAAACAAGTTAATCTAACATACATAATGGGGAAAATGCTACAGTCTATATATAAGATGTGATAATAGAACACCTGTAAAGCAATAACAGGATTAGGTAGTTTATGAAAGGGAAATCATACTTTACTAATCAACAAGAGTTTTTCTGACGATGTAATTAGTAGAATAGATAACCAGTGGATATGGTATTTTGGATTTCATGAAGACTTTTGATAAGGTCCCACATAAGTTAGTGGGCAAAATTGAAGCACTGTGTTTGGGAGTAATATACTGGCATGGGTTGAGATTGGGCAAGACAAGAAATAAAGTGGGAAGGAATGGGTCTTTTTCTGGGTTGACAGACAGTGACTCGTGGTGCACTGCAGACATCAATGCTTGAGCCCCAGCTGTTCACGACATACATAAACGATTTAGATAAGTGAACCAAATGTATAATGCATTCAAGGCTGATGAGCACAAAAACAAAACTTGGTAGGATTGAGAGTTGTAAGGAGGATTCAAGGAAGTTTCAGCGTGATCTTCAAAAGCTGAGTGTGGGCAAACACATGGCTGATGCACTTTGATGTGAAAAATGGAAAGACAGATTAAATTTTTAAATGGTCATATACTGCTAAGTGGGGAAGTACAAAGGAATCTGGACGTTCTTGTATAGCAGTAAGTGAAAGGAAACAGGCAGCGACAGCAAGCAATTGGATTACAAATAGTATGTTGCCTTGCATTGGAAGAAAGTTTGAGTTCAGAAGCAGGAATGTCTGACTGCAGTTATACAGGGCCTTGATGAGACATAACCGGAAGTAGTGTGTACAGTTTTGGTCTCCCGACCTAACAAAGGATATACCTGCCAGAGAGGGAACCCAGCAAAGGTTTATTAGGCTGATATTGGGGATGAAGGACTGCCATATGAGAAGAGCTTAGTTCAACTGGGCGTACATAAAAGAATGAGAGGGGACCTCATAGAAACATACAAAATTCTAACGTTAGACAGATTAATGCAGGCGGTCAGCTGTCTTAAATTTGCAGCCCCTTATTTTGAAATTATGCCCTCTGCTCCTACACTCTCCCACAAGGAGAGACAACCTTTCTGCATCTACCTGGTCAAATCTTCTAAGAATCTTGTGTGTTGCCTCTCATTCTTCTATATTCCAATCAGTACAGGCCCAACCTATTTAACCTCTCCTCATAAGACAGGTCATGTACACCCGGTATTAAGTTAGTGAACCCCTTTTTTGGATTGAAGTGGTCTTTACAAATGAATGGACAAAACCATGGTAAATGGATTTCAATGTAGGCAAATGTGGAATTATTAACCTTAGATCTAAGGAACAAGACTAGGGTTCTTTCTAGATGGTGAAAAGGTATGTAGACAGCACAAAGATTGCAAGATTGAGTGTAATAGTTTATACAGCACTAAATTAAAAGAAATCCTAAGCCGAGGCCAAAGGAGGTCTTACTTATTTTTTCTAACTTGGGTGCTGGTGAGGGTTTCTCCATTAGATTTTACTCTTAGTTCTATTAATGATAGTTAAATATAGAGGCATGGTAGAGTAACTCAGTCTCATGAAACACCTATCCACTTCCATGTGGGAGCTTTCGGGTGCGTTTCATGTCCTGGGCAACCACATGTACAGGGGTCATCAAGGAGGGGCCCAACTCGTGTGGCAGAAATCAAATAACACCTGGCATTTGCAGTGATTCTGTAAGTTTAGAACTGCATGTATAACATATTTCCGGAAGTTGTCATCCCATAGTGAAGAAATAGGTGCCTCAATTGGGCATGGAGTACACAGTTGTTGTGTGTATTTCCCACAGTATTGATTCCTGAATACTGTTGGGGTGATGATTCCTCTGCAGAGTGTAACCACTAAGATTCAAAGGTCTAACGTTGACTTAACTGCTAGGTATGGGGAGTGGTAGGGAAAAGGAGGAAGATCAGGAAAACATTTATGATTAGTTCAATAGTTTACCAACATGGTGAGGGGTGGGTGTCCAAGTCACTGCCAGTGACATTGGCAGAAAGAGGGACAATATACTACAGGCAAATTTTAGGAAGCAATAAAATAGATCAAAAAGTAGAACTTCAAGGATTCAATTTCACTTCAATGGATTCACTTCAATGATTCTATGATTCTTTAAAAATCTCTGAAGTGTTCCTGGTGCCACGTTCTAGTAAATATGAAAACAGGCAGATGCAAAAAATGGAAATATTGTACAGGAGGTATGGTGCATAGATTCCTGGGACTTGGACTGATTCAAGGGAAGTGAAACCAACACAAAGGAGCTAGGAATAATACCTTTAGATCATAGATCATAGAATCCCTACAGTGTGGAAACAGGCCCTTC